GTCATTATATACCGAGCGCTTCTAAAAGCCGAGGCGCGAAGCGCCGTGGTTTATAATGCGCAAGGTATATAATGACTTTCACTACCGAGGAATGTATAGAATTTTTTTTTACTACTGCGAGTTGCGAGTAGAAAATAAAAAATAGATTTAAGATCTGTGTTCAAATTATTTTTTTTAACGCCTTCTTGAAAGTGCTGCCCTCTATCAACAGCTTATGGTAACTTCCTATCTACAGGGTGAGTTATTTTGGGTGGGAATGCCAGATACAGCCTGAACGGTGTCGCGATCTATTTTTTTGAGTATAGTTTAATGGACTACTCAGAATTTTTCAGACTTCATTTGTTTTCGATATACAGGGGTTTTTTGTAAAATGGCTGATTTATGTTTTCCTCTGTATTTCAATTGTTATCACAGGATCAGAATTATTAGAAAATGCGGTGCGATATGATTCGCTTACATATATGTCCTACCACATGTTTTAATCCTGCGACGCTGCCTCTCCCGCGGTACCGTATTGGTGTGCAGGATCCTTTAATGAACATTTTTAATAAAACAAACAAATCATATCCGGCCGTAGTTCGTTATAAATTTTATTTAAAATAAAATATTTTATTTGCAATCATATATGTAATCTTGTCATTACTGACTTTTTAAAAATTTGGTAGTGACACTTTACCTGTGTCACTTCCCTCTTCGATTTCCCTCACCGATTTCCCTATTCGACTTCCCTCACCGATTTCCCTCACTCTAATTTATTTACCTTTGCTGGCAACAATGAGAACATGTCAGGTAAAAACGTCAAAGCAGTGAATGACACATTTTGGCATGTTTGTTTTATTTTTTTAATATTAAAAAAATTGATTGACTAATCATAATTAATTGTGTGCTTGCAAATAAAATAGTATACAAACCTCGGAGGAAAGTTTTCATTTCTGTCTCGCGTCTCGATTGACTATATAAATCTCTCGACAGTAATGAAACACTTCCCTACTCGGTATGTAATATACTATTAATTTTTTTAATATGTAGGTAAATAAATTGACTATAGGATAGATCTTTATTCAACCTGAAAATTTCAGTAGTTTCACCCTGTTTTTTAATTAAATATCAATAAGGGAAATCGTTCGTCACCTAGAAGACACAATGGCTAATTCAAAAGTTAACTAAAAGATTGGAGTCGACTAAATTTCTGCTGCCAACCTAACAAAACTAAAAATACTTTTTAACGCATTTAAAATAGGTGAATTTCAGATGTTTTTGGTTGGCAACGGCGCGCGACGTTGCATGACTTGTATAAACCTTTTCATTTCGTTATTTTTAGCTGTCGTTAGAATTATTGGCATTTGACATTCTGGTACATCATAAGAAAAAAAAAGGCATTGCCAACATTGTCTATCCTTCTTCGATGACGTCATCCTAAATATAACAAAAAAAAGGACCTCTAGATTCAGTAATCATCAAAGGCTCCCGATTATTATACTAACACGTTAAACGTAGAAGAAACACTTGACTGGGTCAAAATGAACTGAAGGCCTCGTTCGCTTAGTTGGGATTAGACTGGTAATCTAGAGGTTCTAGGTTTAAATCCTAGTCGTGTCTGACCCAAACTCTTTGTTAACTTTAAAGTAGCTACGTATCATGTCTGCTATGCCACGAACGAACTTTCTTATAAATATTATACCGACAAAATTAAGATGCTTGAGAATTGTAAATAAATTTTTTACTAGATGGACTTTTATCACACTAGTGTAGTAAGAAAAGAAGTGGATTTCAAATCATCAAAACATTTATTGGAAACAAAAATTTTACGAAAACTAACTAGGTAGATCAAATAACTTTGTTAATAGTGTGTTCGTGAGCATGAGCTAATTTTTCTAGTGGCTTAGTTAACGAAAAGTTTGGACGAGACTAGGATTTGAATCTGGGACCTCTATATCACCAGTCTCATACCAACTGAGATACTGATGCCGTCGGTTTATTTTTACCCCAATCGGTCAATTCTTTCATCAACTTTTAACGTGCTAGAATCTGCAACCTTCGGCGGTTACTGAATCTAGGGGTCTTAGGTTCGAAGCCTAGTTAGCTATTCTGTCTGCTAGTTCACGAACGATTTCCTCTATTTGTATTTGATTAAAAAACTGGACATGATTTGTTTTACTAAAAATAATCATAAAAGGATCCTACACATCAGTGTGATACCGCGGGAGGGGCGACGTCGCGGGATTAAAACATGTGGCGGGTACATGTAGGCAAAATTACGCTTCAGGATGAAATGTATCATATCCCACTACATTTTCTAATCTCGTGTCGCTGCCACCCTTGCTCCCGCTACCACCATACCACTTTTGTGTCTGGGATCGCTAAATCCGAGGAACAGCTAGCTAAAATACCCAGAAAATATAGTTTTTTCGCGTTTTTGACAGTTAAAATTACTAAAACTATAAAGTTTTATATATCGTACCACAGGGGCGTCGCGTCGGGAGGGGTAATGGGGATCGAATTATCAAGAGGAAAATCAGGATGCCCAAAAGAAAATACAAAATATATTGAAAAAAATAAATTTTTGTTTTGTTTTATTCTTCTCACAAAGGAAATAATTGTTCTGGAAAAGTGAATGACCTTGAAATTTGCAAAAAATTTCACCTGCGGCGCGTTTTCGGAGGGCGCCCCCTCAACCCCTCCCGTACCATTTACTCCCCCCAGACTGATGGTCACGCGTCGCCACTATGGTAACAATCACAAAAAAAAAATAGCTAATTTAACGGTGTAAAAATACATAGGGTGTCCCATTTAAAAAAGTTAAAATTTGGACTATATTTCAAAAAATAATACCCCTAAAAAAATCTGAGTACGCCACTGGATTCTACCTGGAAAATCACACAAAAACGTAATTTAACATTTTCTGAAATTTTTGATAACAACTGAGATACAGAGGAAAACAGAAATCAGCCAAAATACCCCTGTATATCGAAAACAAATGAATTCCGAAAAATTCTGAGTTGTCCATTACACTATCAGAAAAATATTTAGATCGCGACACGTACCTATATTAGATTTTTTGTATCTATCACCGTTTAGGGTGTACCCGGCATTCCCACCCAAAATGACTCACACTGTACAGGGTGATCCAGTATAAAGTGAACACCCCCTACCTTTTCGCTAAATTTTTTTTTTTTTCAAATCAAGATAGCTATTTAGGGTATTTTGTTTCTAGGAATTTGAAAACGTTTTATGAAATTTAATTGGAATTTTCGTTAAAGCGTTGTGACGACAAAAGTAATTTTATTTACAATCATACATGTAATGTTGACTTTACTGACTTTTAAAAAGTTCGAAAATGTCACTTTTTTGACTTTTACTTTCGGCCCACGGGTCGAAAGTTTACTTTCGACCCGTGGGTCGAAAGTGAATGAAATTTTTAAAATTTATTGTATTTTTTGACTTTTACTTTCGGCCCACGGGTCGAAAGTAAACTTTCGACCCGTGGGCCAAAAGTAAATGAAATTGTTAATTATTTTATTTTTTAGTTTTAATCCAAATGAAAATTTCAAAATTCGAATGATTGTAAATAAAATAGTATACATACCTCGGTGAAAAGTTTCATTACTGTCTCGAGATTTCAGTTAGACCTCGGCTGCGCCTCGGTCTAACTTAAATCTCTCGTAATGAAACACTTTCCACCTCGGTATGTAATATACTATTTTTAAATGGAATAACCTAAAGCCTGTTTTTTTTTTAAAGATAATTCCCCAAGTCAAAAATTTAGTAACTATGTTGGCAACACAAGCCTTTTCTACATAAAAAATTTGAAAGCATTGACAATTTTACATTGTATTGCCAACATAATGTCAGTTTGACTTTTATCTTTAAAAAAAAAACAGATTTTATATTTAAATCCATTTCTTAAACGCCCTTATTTTTCTCATTTCAAATATATATAGTTTGTTTTTCTTTATTTTAGTAATTTGGAATATATTCTCACTTAAGAATCTTAAGATTCAAATAGAAATAGCCGAAAAGGTATCAAGGTAAACCTAAATAATTTTACCTTTAATAAAACTACTGGTTATTATGTTTTATGATACCTTTTCGGCTATTTTTATGAGAATTTTGAAGTGAGAATAGGTATATCGCAAATTACTAAAATAAAGATAAACAAACTATATATTTGAAATGAGGAAAATGGGGGCGTTCAAAAAATTGATTTGAATATAGGATATTCCATTTAAAAAAATTACTTTTGGCGTCACAGCGTTTTAACGAAAAATGTAATTAAATTTCATAGAATTTTTTTTACTACTGCTAGTAGAAAATAAAAAAATTGTTTAAAATCTGTGTTCTAATTATTTTTTGTGAACGCCCTCTTGATAGTGCTGCCCTCTATCAACAGCTTATATAACTTCCTATGTACCTACAGAAACCTGTATTTTTTTTCAAATTGACGTATGAAATTGAAATTGAACCAATAGAAACATGACAATATCCTTGCGTCATGACGTCATTTTCATTATTGACCTAGGTATTTTTTCATTATTTTCATTATTAACCTAGGGAGAGAAATTCAATTTTTTCTCAGAAAAATAGATTGAATAATGTCTATTTCTCAGGTTAGTAGTAAAAAAAATACATTAAATGGCTATCTTGATTTTTTCAAAAAAATTTTTTTTTAGCGAAAAGGTAGGGGGTGTTCACTTTATACTGGATCACCCTGTACATACAGAAACCTGTTTTTTTTTTTATTTATTTGAATTTGAAATTGAAATTGAACCAATAGGAACCTGACAATATCCTTGCGTCATGACGTCATTTTCATTATTGACCTAGGTTTTTTTTTTTCATTATTTTCATTATTCACCTTCAATTTTTTCCTAGAAAAATAGATTGAATAATGACTATTTCTCAGGTTCGTAGTAAAAAAACCTCGTAATAACGGTAGCGAGAAGAAACAAAAAAAAACTAAAATCTTCCCACTGTCAAATTTATTATAGGTACCTACCTACCTTAACATAAAATTCCTTTAAAAACAATTGCAGACTCATAGATTCGCAATTGCATTCCCAAGGATTTCCTCCCAGCTCTATTCTCTCCAAGGAGTGACTTCTCCGGAGGAGTTCTACGACTTCATCATCTAAGTTGCTGATTTTATTATTTTTTAAATTAACCTCCTGTAAAAAAATAACTGTAATTTTTCAAGATCCTGTTCTTAGATCCAACTCACCTTTATAAATGGAGGAACCCAATTGAAAGTTCTAATGAAATTTCCAGAAAGATCCAGATGTGTTATATGAGTCACATTGCTGGTAATTGACGCATCGGGTTTTTTCAATAGATATTCTGGTACATTGAAGAAGTTTTTTTTTATGGAAAACGAAGTTAGGTTTTTGAGAGAACAATTCACAATTAGATCATTATTTAACGGTTTATAGTAGCATCTACATGCATCAGGGCAGTCTTCAGGTAATAGGCAATAAATGTCCTTGGGCTTCAAAGTAATGCCAACAATATTCAAAAACGGTTCCGTAGTTAGTTTTTCCTTATAGCAATAACTAACAATGTGATAATTAAAGCAATCAGGCGCAAGGGGGTTGTGCTTTAAATTTATATATTGTGAAGCGTTAGAAATAATTGGGGAATTGAAGTCAACATATTTGATATAATTATATTCAAGATCCACATGAGAAATTGATGAGGAAGCAATATCTTCAATCTGGAAATAAAACTTTTTTTTAAAATCTATTTCTTGCCTAGGAAGTTTCTACCTCATCCTAATTAAGTGCCGAAGAAGTATATAGGACAAATATTGAGAAATATTGTGGTAATCCCTCGAAGAACGAGAAAGATCGAAATAAATTAGGTGTTTTTTAAATATCTAAATTTTAAGATATATTTTTTTTCCAATTTATTCTAAATTTAATTTAGTTATCTAGTGTCTATTATATCCGAAAGGAAAATCGAGGAAGTTTGGAGAATGGCGAGGAAGTATTGGGAATGATTAAGAAAATAATCCAAGGAAGTCAAGAGAAGTTAAAAGGAGCTTGGGGGAAATATACGTATCATCCAATAATAGAGAAAATTTGGAGGAAGTTTTGGGGAAAAATATGGGAAGTTGTCTCCCCTTCCGATAAAATAGATAACTATTAAGCCTAAACTTACTGCAACGTTCTTAATTTTATTAGAACGTAGATCCAGTTTTTTAATCTTAAGTTTTGTTCCTGGGTAATGCGAAATTTCATTATTCGCAAGGTACAATTTCATATTTTCATTTGGTGGCAAATACATATCAAAAGTTTTGAACTTATTTTCTCTTAAATCCAGCTTTTCCAGATGAGCTAGTGAGGAAAAAATGCTTGTTGGAAGCGTAATTAATTTATTTGCTGATAAATTCAGGTTTATTAACCGTTTTAGGTTTTGGAATATATTTTTAGGCAATGTTCTCAATTGGTTATTTCTCAAATTTAATTTTAATAGTTTCGAGCAATTCTGGAAACTTTCTTCAGGTATGTCTTGTAGTTTGTTGCTTTGGAGAGCAAGGGATTTCAACATAATATTGTTCGCAAATGCTTCTTCATTTATTTTGGATAAGTTATTCTTGCTAAAATCAATTATTTCTACATCTTCCAAGCTTGATAAGGCATGTTTTGGAATTTCTTCGAGACGGTTATTGCTTAAATCTAAAAGTTTCAATTTTTTTAAGCCGAATAACGTTTTTGCCTGTAAAAGCTCAATTTCATTATTATCTAAATATAACTCGTTTAAATCAAGAAGATTTTTGAAAGCTTCATCAGTTATTGAACTAATTTTGTTCATTGAGAAGTTTATTTTTCTCAGGTTCAAAACATAATCAAATTCAATATTAAGTTCCGGTAGTCCCACAGCTTTCAATGATAATTCTAATAAATTGGGGATATTTTTCAAAAAATAATTATCAAATAGTACTCTGCTGTAAAAATATTCAAGTACTTCTAAGTTTCCCAATAATTTAAATGATTCTTTATTTATAATCTCAGTCGTATTAAAGTCCGGTGAAGGTACATTGCTAACATATAATTGTTTAATATCGGTTAAATTAAATTTCTTCAAAATGTAATCAAATTCCATAAATGAGTCACAGTATTCCATTTTCAACTTCTGAGTTTTGGATAAATCAATGGTAGGTAATAACTCGGCATATTTAGCCTCCCTATTTGAACAGGCCAAATTAACTTGACCAAATTCATAAAACATTATGTCTATGTCATGAATTCCTATATTGGGACATAGTAAATTTGTGCCGAGGTACTGGAATAATCCTCGACATGTACAATTTTGTAAATTATGACCAGGACATCTTAGGCATTGCGTTTTTTTCAAGAATAGCATTAAAAATAGAAATAGTAACGTCTTAGTTCGGTTCATTTTGGTGGTTATATTTGTTGGACCTGGAAAAAAAAGGGATATTTAGGATAATAACAACGGCGGCAATTAAAAAACCATCAGGCAGGGCGATTTGTTCAAAAACTGGTTTCCAAGAATACCAATAAGCGTTCTTTTTACCAATGAAAATCGCAATAATAGATGGTCAGAGATGACTACAGAAACAAGGCATAATAATGAAATTTGTATGAATAGCTAGTAGTTCAAGATCACAGGGTTCCCAGACGTTACTTTATTTTCTAAAGGAAAAAATGTGTGGGATAGAGTAGCCTTTCTATGTACATATTTTGAACGCATGCATACGTGCTAAGTTGGGTATAGATGGCCAATTTAAACGAGTATCCGGAGCGAAAGGTATAACTAAAATAGGACTCACTTCACTTAAATTCCACTGACTTATTTATTTATAGAATATTATTGAAAAGCAATATTCAACATTACCAGACACTTCCCGTGACCCATAATCTGCGGCCAGAGGCGTAGTGAATAGTGTATCTGCTTCGCATGTTGGTCCTGGGTTCGAGTCCCGGCAGCATCTAAACATTCCGGTATAGGATTCGGCACCTAGGCATATTTCATTGGCCCGTTTGAATTCGGACCGCCAATTGATGCGGAGTGCCGAAATCGGTACTTGAATGTTGAACGGTGCTGAGCCTCAGGTCAGAATGGTCCATTAGCAACAGCCATGTGGAGTGCCGAATCTAAGGTCAAAATGTTAAACAGTGCTGAGTATCAGGTCCGAATGTTGCCATGCGTTTGACGCGGTATTTATATTAAATCAGCTGTCCACCTCTTTCGTGTTCCTCTCAGCTACAATTTTGCAGGGATGCGGTTTATTTCGCCGTTGCTTCATGTGTTCTTGTGCTTAAACATGCGAAATGAGTTTACGAGTTTGCCTGGATCATTTAAACACTTTCAATGTGGTGAGCAAATTTACCGAGCCAACATTTTGGAGGAAAACGATATAAAACAATGGATAGAAGAGTATAGTGATATAACATACACGAATTGGAATATGAAGTCAGCGAAAAATAATTATAGCAGATTCAAAATATGCAGGTTTGTGTTCAATGTCAATTCAATGACGTAGAATATAATAAGAAAGGAAAATCCAAAAACTGCTGTTGCCTGGCTTCAATTGATATTTTAAATAAACTAAGCACCACAGATACCAAAAAAAAAGATAAATATATTAGGGTATTTATTTTCAAAATTTTCTATTCTAATTTGCCAGGTTTCAGGTTTTTATAATCCCTCCCCTGGGTCCGCCACTGCAAATTATTGTCCAAGATTTTTTGAAATGTATCGTTGAAATAAAATAAATGTTTAACAAAAAGTAAATAAAGTTTGTTTGTTGATTTTGTGCCGCGCTAACGGAGTAACATTCCAACCTGCAGCTGGGCACTGTTTAACATTTTGACCTTTGATTCGGCACTCCACATAGTATATGTATATACCATTCCGACCTGAGGCTCAGCACCGTTCAATATTCAAGTACGGATTTCGGCACTCCGCATTAATTAGCGGTTCGAATTCAAACGGACCAATGAAATATGCCTAGGTGCCGAATCCTATACCGGAATGTTTAGATGCGTCCCGGCAAGCTGCATGGTTGTTGGCTGTTGTGTAATAAAGCACACTTAATAGTATGGTGTAGATCAAGACTTATTTTGACTTTGCCTCCCACTTCGGTGTCACAAGCTGAATTTTTCAGGGATGAAAGTGCATGATACGGTAACCCTTATTCCGGAGGTAATACAAAATTGGAGTGCGCAAAAGGGCACTATCATCAAAAATCGAGATATTGATACCACCGTATACAGAAAAAAATACTTCATAACCGGTCCAATGCACAAAAAGGTCTTTGTAGGGAGTATTATTTTAAATTCATTCAAAACAAATAATTACCATTAGCTCTTATGGCCGGAAAAAAACTTTAAACGTGAATATCTCGGTTTAGATATAACAATAAACAATGAGAGATGTCAAGGGTCTATGGGAGAGCAAGATCTGACAGCCGAGTTTCTCGACTGGCTATGCATCTCTCTGAGTGTTGATGCGTATGAGATCTCTTTCACTCTGTCACATTATTTTGTACAGGGATTATTAATTTATCCAATTGAAGGCGAAGAATGTTTCATAGGGTGTATGGTATATTACTTTATAATTTGCGTTTGAGGAAAATAAAAAATAATAAGATAAATTATTCATATTATCAAAATACATATACCTACAAGGTGTTTCACGAACATCGAAACAGAGGCATTTTAGGGTATTTCAAGGTCGATTGAATAAAACGCTCGGACACGTCAACTGTGTATTCAAGAGGAAAACTTTTCGACCCCATCCGGTGGGGTGACTTTAACCTCTCCTTTCTAGATAGGGAAGATGCCGAATTTGGGTCGAGTAGTACTAAAGTTTAGTACCTTGTCTTTCAAAGGTATTTTGATTCTCGTCACAAGTGCGTATTTTTTTTTGAAAATCTCAAAATATTCACTGTCAAAGTTGCTATGGGCTAAATAAGAAACAATTTTCTGGCCCTTGTATTCTCAAATTAACACTTCTTCTAGTATTTTTTACCGAATCGAGAATTTAACTCAGTTTCAACCCCATCGACATAAAAAAGGAAGAAAAAAATTAATCCTTCAATGTTAAATAGTTAGAAAATGCTGTTATTTGAAATATCTTCAAAACAAGATGCTATTCAGCCCACACTATTATAGTAATAAGGGTGAAAATTACTCTCAATACAAAAAAAAAGAATCACATAGGTACGGAGTTTTAACGAGAATCAAAATACCTTTAAATCAAAGTACCATTCGACCCATCTTCCTTATCTTGATGAAAAGGGTGAACGTTACCTTTCATAAGGGGTGATGTGATGAATAGAAACAAATTGAAATTATTACAAAAGTGTTTCTGAAAAAATGAAAATTGACGTGTTCGCGCGTATTTTTTAATCGACCTTAAAATACCCTAAAACGCCTCTGTTTTGATGTTCGTGGAACACCCTGTATATGTATTTTGATAATATCATTAATTTATCTTATTTTTTATTTTCCTTAAAGGCAAATTAGCATAAAGTAATACACCATACACCATGAAACATTCTTCGCCTTCAAGTGGATAAATTAATAATCCCTGTACAAAATAATGCAACAGAGTGAAAGAGATCCCATAATAAGTATAGTTCGCCTTACGAGTCTAGCACTACGACGTCTGAAGGGCAAGGGGTAATAACGCCATTCATTTCGAGCTTTATGCGTCCTGTCACAGGTGTGCGCGCAGCGTTTTTAAATATTACTTTTTCCTTATAAATGTAAGTGTGTAACATAGATAAATATTAAGGTATTTTCTATTGGAAGTCAAATAGGCAATATTGCAATTTCTTTATCCGCATTCTTTCCATAGTGCTAGACTCGTAAGGCGAACTTTATAAACACTGAGAGGGATGCAGAGCGAGTCGAGAAAATCGCCGGTCAGATCTTGCTCTCCCATAAGCCCTTGACATCTCTTATTGTTTATTGTTATATCATTGGTAATTTATAGAAGCAAAAAATATGTGGTTTGCACTGTTATCTGGACAATACAGAAGCGAAACTTTTATAAGGATTTTTTTTTTTCATTTAAGCCTACGTTTTTCGGTAAATGAAAGGTATATTTAAAAAACATGACTTTTAACCAAATTTTTGCACGATTGGAATCGAGATATTTACAATTAAAGCTTTTTTCGGTCATAAGAGCTAAAGGTAATTTTTTTTTTTAATGATTATAAAACAATACTCCCTACAATGACCTTATTGTGCATTGGATAAAGTATTTTTTTCTCAATACGGTGCGATCAATATCTCGATTTTTGATGATAGTGCCCTTTTGCGCAGTCTAATTTTGTATTACCTCCGGAGTAAGGGTTACCTTATGATGAACTTTGATCCCTAAATAATTCAGCTTGTGACAAAAAAGTGGGAGGTAAATCGATTTCTAGAGCGAATATTTCAATCCATTCACTCTACTATAACTAAACTTCCATTCACTTTATCAGCCAACTCAATTTACACAAATGATTATAACTTTATAGAGATGAAAACATCGATCATCGATCGGATGGTCTTTCGCATTATCACTGACTGAATGCTGTTAACAATATCTGACAGTGACAATCTACAAACTAGATGTTTTCATAAATTGACCACATAACATTTTTCTCCGCGTAAGTCAAAGCTTCAAAGGGCTAATCTCACTAGTGGCTTAATAATTCTACCATAACGCGTATGCACCGCAGAGAAAGCTGGAATGGAGCGTCTGGTACTCTGACCTTGTGACTCAATCTCAACTTCTGATGTAGGCACAGATTATGTTACAAGTTCACAAATTGGTGACTAATGATTTCACAAGGTATTTCAGATTCCATCGAAGCGGCACTGATATAAGGTAGGTACCTGTTGCTTCTCAGGTTCAGCCAAAATTGACTCATCAGCTTCCGAAGGACACTTTTACAAGCACTTATCCCCATCACGTAAATCGCCCGAATGCACAATTGTTTTCACATTTGACCAAATATGTATAAAACTATCATTACTATGCCCTTCTGCCATAACTTTATCTAAGGAACGAAACGAAGTGTATTTCATGCAAAATTTCATTTATTGAAATTCAGCGTAGTAGAGCACTTTCGGCTTTCGGCATCATCATTACTACTTGGCAGGTTCCGACACATAATAGTATAAAATTGTAACAAGACAGATAAAGTTATGGCAGAAGGGTATACTAATGACAGTACTATACATATTTGGTCAAATGTGAAAACAATTGCGCATTCGGGCGATTTACGTGATGAGGGTGAGTGCTCGCAAAAGTGTCCTTCGGAAACTGGTGAGTCAATTTTGGCTGAGCCTGGGAAGCAACAGGTACCTAATATCAGTGCCGCTTCGGTGTAAATTCTCGTCGTGTCGTAATGTTTTTTATTCTCGACGTCACTGTCCTTTTACAATTTTAACTTCTGTGT